GGCACCAAGCCTGTAACCAGAAAAATGAGTTCTAGTCCTACCTTAGGCATGAAAGCCAGCTGGGTGACTTTGGGCCAGTCACTCTGTCAGCCCAATCCGCATCACAGGTTTGTGGGGAAAATAGGAAGAGGAAGTAGTATTTGATATGTTTGCTGCCTTGAGTTATTTATGAAAAGAATAAAGGGAAGAAAGAAATAAACAAACAAACATGATCCATTCTTAATGCATTCCAAGAACTTGTGGAATTTCTTGGAATGGTTCAAGCAGAAGAAATGTAATGTATATAAAATGTTCTTTTTAAGAAAAAAGTGAAGTGTTTGAGCCTTTTGAAAATCAAATCATTATGTCTGTTGGAATCAAACCCAAATCCACATATGTTCTTTACCCAAAGCTGCAGTAGTTCCAAAACCTGCATTTTTCATTAGCTGCAAAGTCAATGTTTTCTATTAATGTAGTCCATTATAATAATGAACAAAGATACAGCATTTCTTGGACAGACTCTATGTTTGGTAATGTAAACAGTACAGGCTATGCAGAATGGCCATAATATCCATTCAGATTCTCGTGAAAACAGATATTCTTCCTAAAAGTTCTAAATAAGCTCTAGATAGAAAACAGAACATTGGACTGTTGGTGGAAAAATTCATATATTCAGTCCAGAGCTCAACGTTATCCTAATTTTTTTAGAGCTCCATTTCATAAATTATTATAGAGAAGTAATCTTCTTAGTGATCCATAAAATAGTAGCTTTATAGGCAATCATGCTATTATGGCTGGATTTCAGGGACAGCCTCAAGACTGGAGTATTCCCAAATGACCAGAGAATAGCAAATGACTAACCACCAACAAATCAAACCTTGAAACTAGCATGAGGCTGTTAGGGTTAGGAAGACTGATGCTTATTACTGCAGCATCCTGTTTTCTAATTGTTCAAAGTATTTTATAGTCAGGGATAGGCTACTTGGTCATATACATGGTTACAGATGCTCAATATAAATATGTATTGTGTAAACTATTTGATACTTTCCTAAATGTTTACATCCAGGGAAAATGTGCCTTATCCACACATTACAAATATTCCAATTTTTGACGGCAGTGTTATCCAGTTATCTAAAGCCATTTCACTCAGAGTTTAAAACAATCAATCCTTCTTTACAAGGATTCAGACCAAATGTTGCATGTCTGCCATGTTTGAGTTTTCTTAAGTTTCTTTATTTTGCTTGTTATTTCCCCATTGGTGGAGTAGAAATGAAATCGCTACTCTGGCACAATTCATCTTCCTACTGTGGTGTTTAGAGTTCTGAATGCCAAAGAAAAAAACAAATGATAATAAAAGTGTGTGTCATACCAATTTCTTTTTTTGTGACTTAAAAAGTGTCCCTTCCTCTATATTTATGGCTTATAAAGGTTTTCTCTGTAGTACTCTCGTCTCTAAAATTGCTAAAAACAAGCCAAAATAGTAATTCTTATTAACTGCAGTGACACCTGCACTGATACAGTCAAATCTGGCCAACAGCAGGTCCCCCTGCTGTTTTACTCAGCTGGCAGTCTGCTCCATCTGTGGCAGTTGCTTCAGGTGAGTAATTCTTCCAGTCAGACAGGCTCTTTATGGACTTTTTAAAATTCTATTGAAGAAACAGCACCCTTCTGTCTAACAAGGGCCATTACACTGGATAAAGCAATGAAGCTACCATGCAAACTAACCAAATGACAAAAAAGGAAGAAAGATGTTTCAAAAAGTTTCCTTCTTTTCCTCAAGATCAATTGTTCACATTTAAAATTTAAAGGGCAGGAGATTGAACAAAAGCAATGGGACAGAGGAGAACCACTGTTTTGCAGCGAAGTTTCTATACTAAAGTCACTGGACTATGATCTGAAAAAGATATTTTGGTAATATATCCACTTAATTAGTACATATTAATTAGTTTCTTAGAAATCCAAAACTATCTATTCTTGAGAAAGATCTGTGCCTTTCAGAAAAAATGCATATATTCTTTAGAATCACCAACCATGTATATATCTCTGTATATTTATAAGCTCAAAATTGTTTATAATTTGGAAAACAAAAATGGCAATTTACTTTGTGTTGATTTAATTCTTTTCACAGAGATTCTATCTTTTTGTCAGCAAACCACACCATTCCAATCTCCCCCCTCCCCCAAAAAACAATTTTCATAAGACAATTCTATCAATTTTTCCATTAGTCTCTTAAAGGATATTCCTTTTTATCATCTGCCACATATAATACCAATACCATAATTTTAGTTTCATTCCAATTGATTTCAATCCCTACGTATCTGCCATGGTTATCATTCCTTAACAATTTTCATTGTAACTGTGGGTTTACATATAAAACAACTCTATTTTTTCTAGTTGATTCTGCCAAATATAAATTCTTGTCCCCAAAGTTTCATAAATATTTTTAAAAATTTTTCTTATATGTTTTTCTTATAGACAAATTTTATCTAGTTTTTTTTTTCAAATAATGAAGTGCCTTCTTTCTTTTCTGAGGGGTAATTGCCCTATTTACATTCCACATTAGATATTAGTCTAGAAATCCTAAATGACAGTGAAATTTTATTTATTTACATTTCACATTTCTGAATCGCCCATCTCCCTCAAATCAAAATATAAAAATACAAGAAGAAATTCAGTCTGATACAATACAGGTAGTCCTCAACTTACAACTATAATTAGTTACAAATTTCCATTGCTAAGTGAGGCATTTGTTAAGTGAGTTTTGCCCAATTTACAACCTTTCCTTCTACAGTTGTTAAATGAATCACTGCACTTGTTAAGTTAGTAACATGGCTCTTACATGAATCTGGCTTCCCCATTGACTTTGCTTGTCAGAAGCTCCCAAAAGGTGATCACATGATGCTGGGACATCATAACCACCGTCATAAATATGGGTGAGTTGCCAAGCATTGAATTTTGATCATGTCGTAAGTGTGGAAAATGGTCACTGGTTACTTATTTCAGTGCCATTGTACTAACTGAACTGTTGTAAGTCGAGAACTACTTGTATATGCCACAAACATGCTTTTTGGATGCAAACTGAATCTTCAGGTGCTCCCTTGTATCTATACAATGCATAGGAAAGACTACTATGTCATTTTACAGTAATTGGGATGTAATTACAATTCTTTGTTAATTAGATATGGCTAGGAAACCATTTTTAATAACTGAAGATACACCTTTTTAGCACCAGTTTGTTTTATATAGCAGCAGCTAAAGGGTTATCATATCGCCAAGCAGATGAAGCGGCTTGTTTTATTTTATATCTTGTTTGAGGGAGTTTCTGACAAGAAGCTTTTTAGATGCACTATGCCAGGGGTCTTCAAACTTGGCCCTTTTATGACTCGTGTACTTCAACTCCCAGAATTCCTGAGCCAGCCATGCTGGCTCAGGAATTCTGGGAATTGAAGTACACAAGTCATAAAAGAGCCAAGGTTGGCTACCCCTGCACTATGCCTACCTTATTTTATTTTTTTTAGATTCCCATTGGAAAATGACAAAAAAATCTTAGCAACTAGCCACTGAATTTCAGCAGGATGAAACCAGAGATTTGGGGACTGCTGACCCACATGCAAACCAGGGCAGTGTTTCTCTACTTTGGCAGCTTTAAGGTGGGCAGACTTCAATTCCCAGAATTCCCCAGCCAGGAAGATTGCAGAAGGTGCAGAATACACGTCCCTCATGTATTCAGAGCAAACTACTATCTATACAATAATTCAAAATGCAACAATTGATGGATTTCTGACTTGCAGCCAAGATACAAACATCCGGATAAATCCACACAAAGATTAAGATACTATTTAACTTGAGTCAGATTCTAGAATTTGGCTGTAAATTGGGGCAAAGAGCATGTCATTTTTTCTGCTGCCAAGCACATTAGTGCTTCATCTCAAATAATTAGAAGTAATTTAGTAAAGAACATGAAAGTTGCCATTAAAGAAAAGATGCAGGAGAGATAGATCATTCCCTCGTTGTAAAAGCTGTGAGAGGGTGATAAAATGATAATATGCTTCCACACCCACATTTTAGATTGCTCTTCTTACCTGCGTATTATAAGGCAGAACAATGTATAAAACAAAATCAAAACAAAATCCAGCAACAATGCTGTCTATGAAGGACAAGTCATGCTGGAAAGTTGAGAATATCATTAACTTTTAAAAGCACTTTGAGAATTATTAATTTTATGAAATTTGAAAGGTAATGTCTGTTAAAAAACAAAGCGCCTGCATGGAATGCACAGAAGCAATTCCTTATCAACAAAAACTCAAAAGAGAAGCTAGATCTTAATTGTAAATATGTAGCTAATTATGTGCAAGAAATAGAAGTAGGTGATGTTATATACTCTTGTTTTCTAAAAAAAATATAGTTAACATTCTGTGGATTGATAGATACTATGTATGTAACCAAGGAAACTATTTAAAAAAGCTTTTATTTGTTACATTTATATTCCAGTACAAAAACATATATTTGAAAACCCCAATCATTCAATTCTATCTTGACATAACATTATAACAATTATTTTAATGTTACTGATAGTTACTGTAATCCAAATGGGTTCTTTTGGGTTCCATACAAAAAGAAATAAAAGAAAATTTCAGGCCCTTGAACTGTAACAACTAGCAAAAAGAGAGGATTATTTGTGGCTTATATTTTTAGTCTGATCCAGCAAATCTTTAAAAATGTTTTTCTACAGACATTCTATTGAAAATTTACATATTCTTTTGCTTTCTTTAACTTTCTGGAAAGGCTAATATGACAAAAGGCACCTACCTTCATGTTTTAACATTAGCATTTCAAATAATTCTGTTAGTTGTTTAGAGAGCTGTTATACAATGATTACAAAAAATATTTCAAGAACCTGTAGGTGGTACATCTATCAACTTGTATCAATAATCTAAATATATCTCTTAATATCACTTTATAAACCCTGACATTTTCTGCATCTCTTATCTGCCACTTAAAAGCAAAGAAATAAATATTACCTGCTTTGAGTATAAAATATGAAAGGGAATATCATATTAAGCTAATGGAGCTATTTGACTATCAGCAAAGTTTCCATGTCTCCAAGTGTTGTCTAGTCTTCTTTGTTCGCTTTCCTTCTCTTTCCAAAAAGTAATTTGTTCCTTTGACCAGTGTCTGCCTGCCCTTGACTTATGCTGTCAGTTTCTGTCTGATTTCACTCACAGCCAGTCCTCACTAGTCTTTGTAAATTTGGCAGAGATTTCGCGGGGCAGCTTCAAAAATAGCAGAAGTCTTGGAACAAGGAGCAAAGGGGCAGTATGGGTGACTGAAGCAGAAGAGAAAAACTGCATGCTTCCTGAATCTTACATTTATTTTTAGCTGAATTGCTAACCACAGACAAGTCTCAGATGCCTTTGAGGGAATGTAGATGTCTTTTTTTAATATTAGCATTGTGACATATGCTTTGATATGAAACATTTTGTGATTAAGAAGTGAAGAGCTGCCCGTTTTAGCAGTAAAATTAGAGTTATTTTATTCCCTAATATTTCTACATGTACACATGAAGAAATAATTATTATAAATAGCACAGGAATATTTGATCAATTTAAAATGCTTCTGCCAGACTACCTTCGGTGCTTTAACTATGATTTATTATGACTTAATTCCTTGACAAGAATGATAAATACCTCCCCCCCTTTAAAATACACATTGCTTAGCTTTAACAGATAATTGATTCTGTACTTATATTGTTTTTCCATAATTACGTTAAAAAAAACTTCCTTCAATATCAGGAAGTATCAGAAGCAGTATCACTGCTTCTGTGAGAGTTCCAATTATGCAATTCCATTATTGGGTAGCCAATAAATTTAATAATAAAAAATTAAAAAGCTCCAAAAAAACTTAATCCATAATCTGGATTTAGAGCAGCTGTCATGCCATCATCACCTGGACCACAGTAATTCATGAGCTCATCACCTGGATATAGATGACCCTTGAAAAACACTCAGAAACTTCAGCTTGTACAAAATGTAGCTGCCTGTTACATACTGTTGGGCATTCCAAATACTGTCACATCAAACCTCTACTATGAGTGCTGCATTTGCTGCCATTTGGTTTTCAATACATGGTACTGGTGATAATGTATGCAATCCTTAATCCAGCTAGAATCTGCCCATCCAAAGCATGAAGAAAATATATATTTAAAGTCTACATTCCTCATGAGATGCAGCAAAGAGGAACCTGAAAGTGAACATTATCTATCTTGTGGAAATAGTTACCTCCAGAAATATAATCAGCATCCTTTCTGTTAATATTCAGAAAGCATACACAGATCTGACTATTTAAGTAACTATTTAGAGACTGAAAAAGTGTTTTATGTTTAACTTATAAGACTTTAAAGCAGCGGTTCTCAACGTCTGTGTGACGGCGCCCCCGTCACACGGATGCGCCGCTTACACGCGCCGTGGCGCACATGCACGGCACCGCCCCCTGAAGGGGAAAAATGGCGGATCGCCTTTGGCGACCCCTGTAAAATGGTCGTTCGACCCCAAATGGGGTCACGACCCATAGGTTGAGAACCGCTGCTTTAAAGGGTTTTGTTGATATTTCATCAGCTCCAGAGGTTTTGTTGTTAGTAATATTATCTAGAACAGGGATCTTCAAACTTGGCCCTTTTATGACTTATGGACTTCAACTCCCAGAATTCCTCAGCCAGCATGGCCAAGTTTGAAGACCCCTGATCTAGGCCCTGCTTCTCTTCACTTTCCAAAATGTCTAGTGCAGTGATCAAACCTTCATATATAGTCTGTAGGTGATAGAAGACAAAGTAGGCAATGATCACTCTCTTCATTTCTGTAATTTTCTTAAATAAATCCTTTGAACTTCTCATTTGAGCACTATCCTCATCTTCTTAACTCATCTATAAGTGAAATAATGCATATCTGTACCGGTTAATCTTTAGTTGTTTGCCTCTTTTTCTTGAGCAATCTGCTCTGTATAAATCTTGACTTTTTGCTACCAATTTAATTCCTGTTCTTGCTGTTATTATATACATCCTCATAATAAAAGAACATATTTGCATATATAATTTTATGTGCAATCACATATTCTCTGTGACATATCCTATCTATAGTTGGGAATATCAGCTTCAATTATCTTGGGATCTTCTTAGGATTTAGTTCACTTATTTGTTTAAAACATGTCTCTCCTAGTTATCCTCTATAGTCTAGATCAGTGGTTCTTAACCTGGGCGATATTGCCCCCCAGGAGGCAATTTCATTTTTCAGGGGGGTGATGGAATGAAAAGGGATGACAGGAATGAAAAGTGGGCGATATGGGGGCGATGGAGTGAGATGTTTTGGGGACACTTTTGAGACTTTCGTACAGTGAATCACTATATATCTGTCGTACAAAAACATCAGATCGCTCGCTATTAGTGGATTGAATTGTGTTTTCAAATGTTCCTCCAGCTAGCTTCAGTACAGAACGCCGTACATATGTGAATACGCATCGCTTATCTTCATGCGCATTGTGCAGCAGCCTCTAACCCATACAGTGGCATTCCATTGGCCAGAATATGGGAGATATGGGGAAAAGACTGGAAATAAATTATTTGCATCAATATGTCCTGATGACAATTTTAAAGAAAACAAAAAAAGTGTTTGCATAAATTGAAGAATTATTTCCTATGATTGAGAGGTTATGTTGGGGGAGGGGGCGATGACAACTTCCTCATCGGCTCAAGGGGGCGATTCGTTCAAAAAGGTTAAGAACCACTGGTCTAGATGGTGCCATGATTGTATCAAACTGTTCTAAAATAGCCTATAATATTTTTAAAATTGGCTTGCAAAGGTTATGGGCATGTACCAGTGCTACTATATTATTGGAGATCATATTTATGAAACCAAATTAAGTCCTTCTTTTCAGAGAAAGGTCCTGCTACCAAAACCTGCACTAGATTTTAGAAAGATGTCTGAGAGACACAATAAAGTACATGTGGCTTACATGTTACATGCAGTTTGTAGATTGGACACCTTATATATTACTAAAGAAAAAAAATCTGCCATCCATCTTGTAGGACTCACCAATTTTTCAATTCTATTATTTTCTACAATGGCTAAATATTAGAAAATAGGAAAATAATCCTATCTTTCATTTAGACTATGTAAAGTAGCCCATTCTTGAAACTTAACAGATTATTTTGACTTCACCTTGTTATCTATTAACCTACTCTGGAGGCCAGCTATATTATTTATCAGAAATAGGCAATTCTATGCCCCCCAGATGTTTTTAATTACAACTCCCACAATTCCTGATTATTGAATGTGCTAGCTTAGACAGAATTTTAGTCCAAAGCACTTGGGAAAGGTACCAGGTTGTCTACCACTGACTTACTTTTCAATTTGCAACTCTATCTATTCACTAAAAGAAACTATAGATTTGTTTTTTACAGGCTAACATTGTATGTAGGGAGACACTTATCTTTTATAAACTTCTTATGAAAACAAAGCAGTAAAGGGGAAGCCAAGATGGGTGATAGTCCCAAGGGACTTTTTTGCTTCCAGCGTTAGTCTACTAGGGAGTATTTGCTAAACTATTATAACAGCAATAAAGGGGGGGGGGAATCCTTCAGCTGCATTTATAAAAAAAACCACTTAGCTCTGGAGAGCTGTTGGAGCAGTCTTATGAGATGACTATTGAGTAAGTAATTTGAAGATTTTGGCCCATGTTATACCAAGAGAGAGGGAGAACACACTAAGACCATTAAGCCATTTTCAAAATATAGTTTTCATTAAACCTTATAACAATTTCATCCATTCAAAGAAGCCAGGGTTTTGTCTGAGGCATTTGGGCTCAATTCCAAAATGTGTTTCACTGCAATATTTCAGCCCAGAAAAAAGTGAAAGAAATAGCTGGCTAAAGTTTTTTTTTTTTTAATTCACTGGAAAATCAACAGGGGTTAAAGTCAGGTTCAGAGCTAATTTTATGATAAATGGTATTCCAGATGCAGAATATTCTCAGTCATGACATTTATTGCAACCTTAATTTTATTAAATTTGTAATGAATTCCAATTTGTATCATATAACTATTGAAAAATAATATAAACGAATTCCAATTTTTATATTACTACTCAGGAATTCAAAGTGGGTATAAAGCACTCTTTCTCCCAATTCCTTCCCCACTCTCACAAATAACTGTGACAGGGTTGACAGTAGCCAAAATGTTACCTGGTAAATTTCCCTGGCTGAGAATGGCTTCGAATCTGAGTCTTCTTGGTCAACAGTAACTCTATCAAAAGCTTAAGCACTGATCATAACCAATACAACTGCCGGAATATCAGTTCAATATTACGCCTTTGAGGGTGCTAAGCATCATGTTGTCTATATGCAGATTACAAATAGAACTAACCAAATCACTGAAGTACTTTTGGAAAAACTTTGTTGTTTGCAAAAGTATAATGATTTAGGGGGGAAATTCTCAACAAGAAGCTAATGGGGAAGACCTCCCAAACAATGCAAGAACTGATCATTTTTAGTGGTGCTGGATTCTGATGGTTGTTGGAGATGAAATAGAATCAGAATGAAGGGTTCGATGTCTGCAATCTCAAACAAGATCACTCTTCACTGCAAAATTTGTTACAAGAATCACTTGTTTCAAATACTTTCTCTAAAATTTTTTTCAGTAGTTTTGAAAACTATATCTCTAGTACCCTAAAATTGTTAAAAAGTTGCTAAGTGCCTAAAGATATTTGCTTGAGCCTTGGGATTCCCTTCTAATAACCCCTGTGTCTTTCCTTTGCTACTTCATATATTTCCATATATGATTTTCTGCATTATCTCTTTTGGCATTAACATTCTTTTTCCTTTTTTTCCCCTTTGCCATCATTGAACACTTTGGTGGGTTTTTTTTTTTTCATTCTTTCCTTCTTCTGTAGGTCTATGGAGATTTTATAGCAAGGAAGTACTGATAATTCAGCTTCATAGAAACAAAGCAATATTCCTAGTTGCAACTTAAAAGAAATTTTTAAAAATCAAAAAAAAGGGGAAGTAAAAATTTATAGTATTAAGGAAAAGGGAATATGATTTAAATAGCCTGGCTAGAAACCGAAAGGTTGCCCCTGGAAGATATAAGAGCTAAAGGGTAGCATCTAGGGTTGAAGATTATT